CTTTGTCGCCGCCGCACCGGTGCTCAAGCTTCACCATCGAATCGATTCCTCTTCTTCCCCCATCGGATTCTAGATCTGGCGCCGTCGCTCCCTGTCGCTGTTGTCGGCTGGCTCGCGACCGACGGAGGGAGGAAGGCGGGGTCGTCGGGGAGGGGTGGTGGTTGGCTGGGGACTTCGCCGTCGATTCCTCTTCTTCCCCATCTGATTTTGGATCTGCCGCCGCCGCTCCCTATCGCTGATGTCGGCTGGCTCGCGCTCGACGGAGGGAGGAAGGCAGGGTCGTCGGGGAGGGGAGACGGGACATCGGGGAGGGGTGGTGGTTGGCTGGGGGCTGGCTGCATGTGACGGCTGGGGGAGACGAGAGGTTAGGTTGGGATTTGGGGTCGTTTTCGGAGGAAAGGGGAAGGGGGTCGGTTACCCAGTTAACCGACGGTTTTCGGCGTCGGTTTCTCGGGTAGCCGACCCCCTTCCCCTTTCCTCCGACAACCGACCGCGGCAAGATGGGGACGGTTTTCTGTTAGCCGAAAACCGGTCGGTTCGGTCATAACCGACCGGTTAACTGCTAACCGGAAACCGTTCTGCCACCCCTATCGAATTACTAGGCATGAAATTTCAATGAGAATGAGAACATAGAATCAAGTAAATAACAAACCATAATTGAGTGGATTAAGAAGAAGCAGAAATAATCATACACATCTTTTACAAATCAAGTTGCTCCTGCGATTATTCTTGAACTACAACCCAACTCTAGTTGACAGGAAGTCAGCCCTGAATTAAGATCAAGTAATGTTAATATTAGTATTATCATATAAAAGGAGAGAAAACATCATAAGGACTAGGACTTAAGTCAATCATACTCACATCATCATAACTCAACCTACAAGAGCTCACCTCTTAAAGATTATTCCAACTTGCCCCTGCCAGCCCAACTGTTTGCTCCAATCTCAACATCAGTCCCCATCCTCACATTCCGGAGCTACAAAAATTGGGGAAGAGAATGGAATAGTAAGTAAATAAGTCCAAATAGCTCCAGATAGAGGGACCGGAGGACTACTAACTCTAAACCCTTGTCTATTTAGAAAGAACTTAGTGTCCACATCAAGTCGCCGCACTTCGAGTGATGGTAAGATCCACAGTCGACATGAAAGACAGAAGGTTCCATGCTCATCACTACAGTAAACCTAAAATCACAGAACTATGAGAATGTTCAATCGAAACTGATAGAATAATTGAACGAAATCGCAATCCTACGCAGGGGAAGACATATGAGGAACTACATGTGAACCCTAATTTCGTATATGATACAGGGACAGTGTCGTCTTCGATTGTTAGCTCAATCACCATCGACCTCCACTGCTGCTTTCACAACATCAATCCGGTGATTAAACCATATTTTCTTGCGGCTATTGCGAAGAAGCTTGCCAACGGCAGGAAGCACGAGTACGGCCACTTTCTTAGCGATGCGATGAAGCTCCGCTCTGGCCTAGCGATCTGCCAGTAACATTGTTGATTCCGCTGTGCGATGTTCTCGAACTAATTGAAATGAAGGCTTCCATAGTCTATGGCAGCGGCGATGGCAATGGCCGAGTTCGTAGCTCAGATCGACGATTTGGGGAGGAAAAGAGAGGCGAAAAAGAGGAGAATTGGGGATTTTTTTAGGATGAGGGTTATTTTATTCTTACTTTTGGTGGGGGTAAGGAAATAGAGTTGTTCGCTAGCAACGGTTACTAAACCCTCGAAAGAAACCCTTGTTAAAATGATTTACGAAATTTTTTGCAGAGGTTTATCTAACCCTTGCAACGTAACCCTTGGCATAGAGGGTTTTTTTTGTAGTGTAAGTTGGCTGTCTTATTGCTTCTCATCCCTCCATGAATTGATTCGAGAGGAGTTAGCCCGCAGTCCGAGAATGTGGACGAGGATGTTCCTATTAACGTCAGGTATATATATTAAATCGTAAGATTGCAAAACTGTGTCGGGATTGTAGCTCAAAACTCGGTGATTGAGTATTTAATTTGTACTTAAATTTTAAGTAATTATCAAGAAAATTGACTTATATTTCATGCCTAGCCTATATACATATATCATATTTTCTCATACAATACCATCAAATAAGTAGTAAAAATTTCTCAACAAATTTCATTAATTTGTCACACAAATTAAATCAATCATTGCAGCAACCACGAGAACTTGGCCTCCCAGTTGCAGCCTAAAAGGGCTACAAATGTAGTCATTATACCTCAAGCATCCAATAATAACACGAATTCGGTACAGGGATGGTGCAATAATTCTTGCAACGACCAAAATTGTCAATTCTGGTCCGAAATTTTTGTGAAAAATCCACAATTTTTTAGTATTAAAAATTGGAATATTAGACCTACGACACACCTTCAATAATTGTAACTGACACACCTTATTACATTAAAAAATTTGTTATCATAATGTTATTAAAATACGTAAATATAAGAGTTATGGACTTCATATTCGGTAGTTAATTGGTTGGTTGTACAAGAGTAGACAATTAATCGACTACTTAGTACGTAGTGAGTATTTAGAAAGATAGCTATCCTCTTAGAGACAACATCGATAATTTGAATGAGAATTAAATTGATTAATAAGCTGGTTGAGTCAAATAATTAGAAAATGAATTCCAGACTGTCTTTCCCTATTGCTTCATTCATAGAATTTTCTTTAAGTTAATTTTCAACTTGCTTTCTAGTTTAGTTATTTCTATCCATGTTGACGGCTGTAGCCACCCTTCAATCATCGGTGTCGAGCCAATGACATCCTCAATTTCTCATGCTCATTCAAATTTCCACGTTGACACATGTGGCCACCCTTCGAGCTTCTCATACCAAATTTCTCATCTTAAATTAGTATTGACTTTACCTCTTGCAACTGCAAGCTACAAAATGACATTTTCCATATGAGTTTAATCGAGAACAATCTTTGGTACAAGTTGAGTGACCAGTTTATGAATAATTGTTTAATTTCTTACATACAAAATATTTGATTTGCAACCTAATGGCCAAATGTAATTAAGAAAATTTTCAGAATATGAAAACTCATCGTGGTTCACTGTAAGAAATAATGAAATTGGTGAAATTTATGAATAAAATTTGTTTGTTTATTTTAAAATAATTAATTAATATTTATTTATTTTAATATAATTTTATTAGTCGACACACCTATTCCAAAATTCTGGGCCCGCCACGGTATCCAAATATGTGTGATGGCATTGATTATGGTAACTGCTATGTGGGTCGCTTCTGTCAAGTGCTTCCTTATGAGTGTGTTTGCTTCTGCACTGCATAAACATGTTCTATTCAATTGAACGGAGATTCATCGAGGTGCATGCATCGTAATTGTCGTCGGTGTCGAAGCTTGTTATCTTGATCTGCGAATTTGTTTCATTTACCATGTATTTTCCCCCTTTATTGTGCTCTTTCAGTTGATTTCGTGTGTTTTTTCATAATTGTCGGCGCCCAACCGTTCTCCATGTTCCCATTGCATGAATAGTGCTGATTCAGATTCGTTTTCTCATCTTTAATTTTTTCCGTGCAATTTTCCCTCCTAGTAATGAGTTGAGACTACTTTGTATTGGTTTTAGTTTCTTCCTTTTCCGCATGAATGAAATAAGGGTGGCTCTTGTCATTTTCATTGTACGATTCAACATGTACTTCGAAAATCTCGTGTTGGGCTCAAAACTTGGTCGACACTAATGATAAGGTATAAGATTGCCTACCTTGCAGTGCCAAACTCGTTAAGTATAGCTAGTGAAAATGTAGGTCTCTTTGATATTGCGATGATGTCTGAAACACTTTCAAATCATTATCCGTAACAAATAATAAAAATTTTGCACTTTATATGATAGCGGTATAACATATTTCGCAGTGGCATCTGGCTTGTCATATTACATGATTATTATAGAAAGTAAACGTGTGTGTCTTACCGAGTAGTTATAAAATAATGCTATGTATGCAAATTTCATGTAAGCATTACATAATGCTAACAACATTAAATCATGTAAAAGGTTAGACAAAATTTCTGGTACGACATTAATCGTACAACCAATCAATCAATCTTCGGGCAAGGACTAACCTGCCCTTCCCCCAATCATGGATAAAGAAGCGGACTAGTACCATTGCTAAGTCGGCCATCGTGTTGCATCTCCTCCTTCCATATCGTGATACGAGAGCAAAGTCGTAGAATGTCGACAACATTGTTTGAACTAACATCAGATATATATAGTTTATTATGAATTATGGTATAGATATTTTCTAGCTAGCACAATGACATTGTTTTAGTATCTACCAACACGGTACAGAACGTTTCAATAAATAAGATTTCTTATTTTTTTTGTTCCAAAATATTTCTGTAGTGGATGACATCCTATGGATATGATCCTCCCCGCCTCCCTGTGATTTGGGTCCGCTAATTACAGCCACTGGAAATTTTCAAAGCCAAGCTATACAATTCGTTCAACTACCACACTGATCTTGTGTTTGATTTTGTCAAACTGGTTGCCTGATGTTTGGTGAGATAGGCTACGTGTTAGGGTTAGATCGAGGACATACATTATATAATTATAGGTCCACAAGTAGCCTCACACACAAGCCAAGAAGTACCAAGCACATTCATACTCCCCGAGGCGAGACATACGTTTTTGCCTACAATATATGCTCCGCACTAGCTATTAGGGAAGGCAACTGAAGCCACACCGTGGTAGCCGATGTTCCGATCCAATTCAAGCGAGGTAAAAATGAGTAAAATTTAATCTTGATGGGATATGAGCCGAGTATGAGTAAAACATGCTTATACCATTTTGGGTTTAGTAAGGTCGAGCGCGAGTTTGAAGCCATATGGACTCTTAAACTGCAGACATATAAAATATGCTGCTCATATGATTCAAACCATGTTAGCTAGTGATTACTAACAAGAGTGTCCACCAGACCACCAACATACTAGAGTCCTACTTATTGATATATTGATACGTTCATTTCAATACATTATTATATTTGACTGATTTTGCTCTCCCAAAACTCGATGGGTTTATATTGAGTTCGAGTTTGAACCCCACCCATTGTCATCAACAATGTTCCTCTAGGCCCAGGCTTGCCGAGCAGAGCTCCAAAGCCCGTTGTAGGTCAAGCAAATGGCCCAAGCCCAAAATTCCCTCTCTAAATTAAGGGCTCCTTATCCCTCCAAGAAAGGGTTCCTCATTCTCCACTTTGGTCATCTCGGTCTCGGAGTCGGAGGAGTTGGATGTTTAGTATTCAGTTTTCATGTACAGTTCGAAACTCTGCAGTCAATATCAATGTTGCAGAAGGTTTGTTCTTCTTGTTCACAAATCACATGCTTGTCCGCAGAAAATTATCACAGGCTGTCAATAGATTCTGCAGTGGACGGTTAACAGCAGTATTTCGTCCCGATACTAACATGTTGCCCTCCTCCACAAGCTGCACAACAGTTTCCCGACTGAACCTGTGAGAATTATCTTTCAACAAATTGGACCAGGCTGTCATTGAGAAAGCTGGGATCTCCTCCTCGTGCTTCATTTCAGCGATACAGGCGAGAGCAGAGTTATGGTTGCATTTCTTAAGCATCATGCACAGTCTTTCTTTGATGATAGGAGGGGGTGCAACCCGATCAGTGCGAGCCAAGTGCTTCCAGGTCATTTCCACTACCTCTTCCTGCAACCACATTGGAACTTGTCAATAAAACATAACTGAAGAGCTCGTTTGGTGACAGTAGAATGCATGAATTTTGTAATGGGGGATTGTAAGAATGTGTGTAATGTTACAATAAAGTATTCTTAGTTTGCAGGAATTGTCTTTCGCTAAATTGTATTCCCCTGTATTTGAATCATTATGAAAATATCCTACCACTACTATATTTTCTATGACGTACCTTTCCAGCTCTGGCAGCTTCCAAAATCATCCGGAGGTGACGCTTAGCGTTGAAGTGGTATCCATACTGCAACATCCCTCCATAGACATCGACAAAGTCATCCCACCTCTGCTCTGCGACACAGGCATCTAGCATCGTGTTGAATGTGTAGATATCTGGAACCACTCTCACCTTATAATCCAATTTGTTGCTGATTTCTTTGCTGTCTTCTGACATCCTGTGGAAGATCGTCTTTGCTTCTTCAAATCGCCCATTATCCAGATAACCTTTGAGCATTATGTTGCAAGTTACAAGATTTGGGGAGCAGAACTGCTTCATGTGGTCAAAGATGTACGCTGCACTATCGGTTCGCCCAGCTTCCAAACAAGCTTGTACTAGTCCAGTGTAAGTTACCACCAATGGCTTATTGGCCACCTTGCATATTTTCTCAATCTGTCCAATGGAAATACAAATGACTTACTGTTTATCTTAGTCCCTAACTAATTAAATCATTTACGCAGATGCAATGGCAAGAGCATAATCACCTGTGTCAATGCTTCTTCACACCTTCCCGAACTACAAAGACAACGAGCAAGATCATAATAAAGGGCAGCAGAACCCACAATTCCTCGTCTTTCCATCTCTTGAACAGTTAATACAGCTTCATCTGTCTTGCCTTCCTTCCAGAGAGTATTCACAAGAACTGTGTGAAAGAAGTTACTGTCATGTCATAACTTTTTACAAGATCACTTGGAGAAATAGTGGTAATGACAGATTGTTGTACCTCGATAAGCTAAAGCATTTGGAAGAGAACTTTTCTGCAATTTCCTGAAAAACTCATGAACCAGATTGTATTTCTCGCACGCGAACATGACCTGCTCAAGTAAATGAAATTGTTAATATATTCAATAGATGATGCATTCTCCAAGCTCATCAGATAAAAAATGGCAGTGACTCATAAGTTCTCATCGATGCATGCCAGAGATCCATGATGGCGGTGCCAGAGTAAGCATCACATTTATACCCAATGAAATTGATTATAATCATTATATTCATACATTTAAGCCTTCTTAATGCTTGTCTAGTGAGGGGTCACAAGTGTGGGTTCTAACATGGAGGAATATAAGACAATGTGGAATGCTGCGATCAGAATGATCAGAGAGACACATGACATAAGACAGCGCATTGAGCTACCTCCATGACTAGTCCATATGTTGCAGTTGAAGGCTTCTGGTTTTGCTCCTTCAACTGTTGCAAGACCCAAAAGGCACCTTCCCATTGCTTTCTTTTGACACAAGCATTGAGGACCTGGAAACAGGAGTACAGTGTATGGATGTCAGACATATGTTGTCTTGGCTAATATATGGATAAAATGCTTGAGAACTACTGACCGCATTGTAGATCACAACATCAGGTTCTAACGTCGGGTCCCAGTTCCCATAAATCCCTGCTTTGGACTTCTTCATAGGAGGTGATCGCATGCTATCAATAACATCAAATAGTTCCTTCATATAACCTGCTTGACCGAGGGTGACGGCTATAGAATGATAAGCTACCAAGTCAGGATAGGTTGACATGCGTTTCTGGAGATGAAACAAAAGTGAAATGTTTTCAATTAGTGGGATATCCTATATGCCCTCAACTCACCAAGAACACCGCCAATGAGAAAAGAGGAATGTCTACATGTCATGAAAACCTTGAATTACCTGCATGGAGTAAAATAGATTCAGTGCCTCTACAGGTCTTCCTGCCTTCCCAAGTACATGAAGTGCAGTTGTGTGAATAAACCTGAGTTAGAAGAAGACACATGGAATCAGCGGGGTTCCAATGCAAACTCAACCTCGATGATATAACCTTTTTATGGAAGTAAGAACATATAGGTTTACCAACACCAGTTTAAAAAGCACTTCCTTTTCTTTGCAGAATTTGACAAAGATGTTCTAGCAGTATAGAGACATTCAAGCTCATTTATGGGAGGATGATTCTTTCAGAATAGTGTGAATATAAGGCTTTGTACATCATTGGTACTCACGAAGTGATCTCTTCCTACCAAGATGACAAATTAGAAAATGACTGGAACCAAAAATTTCAGACGTGGTATATCCGTAAATGTAGCAGTATGGTGATAGATGTTTCCATTAACAGATAGGAATCAGGCCTCAGTTAGTTAATCCAGCATATTCAGGGATAAAAAATATACCAAGTATCATATACTTCCTTCACTCTCAAACGCCAAGTAGGTTGTAACAAGAAATGTACCAGTAAGTCAAATGGCAACCAGTGTACAGACACGAACATGGAGAAGAGGGGGGGAACACTATACCCGGGTTTGTGGGATTTAAACCGATCGCGCATCTGAAGCCACTCAATGACTTGTATAACCCGTCTCCAGTTTCCCAGTTTACCTAATATCTGAATAATCCTCAGAACAGTATGATCTGTGTATCTGATTCTTGCACTTCGCATCATCTTAGAGAACATCCACTCTGGCATATCAATGTCTGCCCCATTTAAACTGTCAAAAAGAAACTATTATAACTTGATTAACTGCAAGTTTACTGGATAAAACTGAAATATGCGTGCAGTAATTTAGGACCTGAATTCATAAACAAAAGGGATAATATAAGACAGAGGGATGAATCACCAACCAATTTGCTAGCTTCTGGACTCTATCTTCCATTTCTCTTTTGGAAGCTGGTAACCTGGAAGCAACATAATCTGATTTCTCCAAGTTTGTGAAGGCCGCTCTGTCCACTTCTGAACCAGTATCTCCACTATTTTTCAGATAAAGCCTCTTCTTTTCATGCAGCATCTCATTTTTCTTCTTAATTTCATACGAAGTAGTCTCCTCAACCTGGAGGAAATTTGCTGCACGTTTCTCGCTCATTCTATGGTTTCTACCACCAACTTCCTTTCCTTCAAAGACATTCCTTTTCTTCAACCAAATTCCAGGTGAGCTTTCACTGTAACTACCTGTCTCTTTCGGCTTTGTAGTGATGTTGCTGCTGTTGGACTTAAAATCATCTACTAAAAGAGAGTCTTCTTCCACATTCTGCATCTTCTTTTCACGCAGCATCTCATTTTTCTTCTTAATTTCATACGAAGTAGTCTCCTCAACCTGGAGGAAATTTGCTGCACGTTTCTCACTCGTTCTACGGTCTCTACCACCAACTTCCTTCCCTTCAAAGACATTCCTTTTCTTCAGCCAAATTCCACGTGAGCTTTCACTGTAATTACCCGTCTCTTTTGGCTTGATATTGCTGCTGTTGGACTTAAAATCATCAACTAAAAGAGAGTCTTCTTCCACATTCTCCATCTTATCAACCTTAGCCATGTTCAAGCCTCCTATCTCGTGATTCATCCTAGACATTCGACCACTGAATCCTTTCCCATCTCTAGTTACCCCTCCTGTCTTCCTCTCTACTTTAGCAGTAGATTCAATGCCAGCAGATTTATCACTCTCCCTTCTTCTAACTCTATTCTTTTCATAGTAAAGCTTACCATCAACCGCAGCTTGCGGCCCATTGCCTCCATCGCTTTTGCGCAGCTCATCATTTCGCTTGACGCTGGAAATGGATGGCTTCTCTTTGCCCCTAAGTCCCTTTAGCCTGTTGAAACTTTCATTTGCTTCATCTCCTTCCACTGATCTTGCCTCGTTTTCACCTATCTTTTCGACTAGATTGACGTCAGCCTTCAGCTCCGGGTCCTTGAAGTTACGGATTTGCCTCTTCTCTCGGCCAGTTTTCACAGCCTCCATGGCTTTTAAGTACTCTCCGAAAGACGGCTTGAAATCCAAGTCTTTCTCCTCAACCGTTGCCTGATTATCCATCTCAGCCTTAATCCTCAAGCGCCCAAACTTCCTTAATCTCGTCCCACTCTTGATGCTCGAAGGAACTGCGAAAATGGGTCGCCGGGATTTCAGAAACCCATGAGAAGAAGAATCCGGATGCCGCCACCTGCAGCTACAGCTTGTTTCGGAATGTGAGATACCCATCACTTGCCCGTTCGCCATTAGTGCCATCTCCATTTTCACCTCAGTCTCTGAGACCTACAGGGAAGCATTACGGGCCTTGCTCAAATTCGCGAAATTGAGAAGCTTCGGGATCGCTTTCCGGATGCAGAGAGCTTAGGCCGGGCAACCGGAAACAGGATAAGGATAGGCAGAGTCGGAGGAACTTGCAAGCTGGCCTGCCTCTTGGAATTGGGATGAGAACAGTGAAGGAACTATCCGAATTTCCCAGACTTCCCTGCCTCTGGAGTTTTTGAGTATTCACTAATCACTCTTCAGTATTCACAGCGCAACGGCAACCAGAATTTCTGCCAACAGAATCTGAGCCCATCCTATGTACGCTCAGATGGAGACCCATGAAATCAAGCCCAACTAGTACTTTTTTGTGTGTCTCTTTAAAGCCCAAACCCAAACAGATTCAATGTGAAATTTTTTATGGATTAAATATTAAACAAAATTAACTCAAGATTAAATGTTTGTGAACCATCTGGATATCATTTGAAAATGACTAGTTCAGATAGAATTGAGCTTGATCCATGTACTTGGAATTTTTATGAACTAAGACGTGGTATCTCTACATCCTATTGAATTTTATGAGGAGGAGGAACTTTATAAAGATCGTATTAATTCTTATCAACGAAAAACTGGATAAATCGAAACTGTTCAAACAGGTACAGGTCAATTAAACGACATTCTTGTAGAAATTGAAGTTGTTCATCCAACTTTAATTAGAATGATTTGTGTTATCAATTGTTCATCCAACTTTGATCATATTACTAGAGTAAAATATTTTAATATTTCTATAATTGAAACCTCGAATTTGGTCACTTTACTCATCCACAATTCAATCATATTTCTTGCAAAAAAACCATTCAACCTTCATACGTCTCTCTAGCCATTCACTCTTTTCGCTTCGTAAATTCGCATGGTAGAGAAATTGATGAATGGGAAAAGAAAGTTGATGATAGGCAATGAGAGTATGACTGTCAGCTTGTGCGTGAACTTACGAACCCTTGTGCACCAACAACAAGCAACGTCCTTTTATCATAGTTCATCCTCACAAAAATCTGTGTTATAATAAGGAAGATGGTAACAAGCACTTGATGCAAGATTATTTCAACTCAAATCCAACCTACTATGTTACGCCTTCACAAGGTGTTATCGGATGTCCCGTGTCTTATTCAACCGGGTCATGAAAGATGTTATTCAAAGAAACCAGAAAATGAGACTGTTTTCAAATTATCGTGAGTGGGCTACATGTGTGAAGACTATTAGCAATCAAAGTAACTAGGAAAAGAGACTTTTTGCAAATTCTCAGTAGGCTTACCGCAAAGAATGTTGAGAAGGCCTTTTGCATATTATAACAAAGATGAATCATTGTTAGAAGGTCGAGCTGTTTACGAGACATGCAAAAACTTGGTAATATTATGTTAACTTGCAATTTTCGCACAATATGTTAGTGAAAGATCAATAATACGAGTACGGAGATGGGATAATGGAAAACATTGAATATTGGATAAATTGCAAGTTTGGTCACTGGGTTTACTAAATACGTTCATGTTTAGTCATTACAAATATTTAATTTAATTCCTGGTCACTGAAATTAGTTCAACTGTTCAAGTTTGGTCACTCTCCGTCAAGCTCCGTTAACTTTGTCTGATGTAGCAATCAACCCTCATGGTTGACCATTAAATAAGTGAGGTGACAGTTAAAAAGTAATAAAAAAAAGTAAAATGTAATCATTTAAATTTTCCTCATCATTTTCACAACTATTAAAAAATAAAATTTAATTTCTATAATTTCCTACCAAACCCAACTTCTTCCTCTCTTAAACCCTTTCCCTGTTATACATAGATAATCAGGTGACTTATTATGTGCTGATAAATGAAAAAGAGATTTTTCCGGAGAAAACCCTTGGCGATCAAACTCCCGCGTCTGCTAGGGTTTCGCTCTTGATGGCGGCGCCCTCGCCGTCCTCTTCGCCGGCGCCAATGAGTAAACCCCCGGATAAGATGGCTGGGGCAAGGCGTACGACAACCAGTTCTTCACCGGATGGCAAGAGCGCTCGAGAATCTATTCAGCCGAAGAAAAAAGTGAGATCGTTGAACATACTGGAAGAAGAGAAGATGGGGGAGGAGACCTCTACGGCAGAGATGGAAACGAAAAACACCCAGCCCCATGGGTCGGCATCTCAGGCAGCGTGGCAGGGAGCAGCTTCTAAGCTGTTTAGTGATGTCATACGTGACGGGGGATGGTATGTAGGAGAGTCGGATTCAGAGGATGTTGCGGAGAGGGAGAAGGAAGAAGATGATGTAATTGACGAAGACTCCTATGATCCACGATGTCCTCATGTCCTGTTCACTGCTGCGCAAAAGATAAAGTGGAGACGGGAATGGAGATCAGCCCTAATAGTGAAAGGATTGGGTCGTGACGTACCATACATCCCTTTGGCAAAAAGACTAAATTACCTGTGGGCTAGACATGGAGACATTCAAATCTCTGATTTGAAGAATGGATGTTTCTTAGTCAAGTTCAGAGACCAACGAGACTATCAGCTGGCGGCGTAAGGTGGTCCATGGTTGTTGGGGGATACTTACCTGACTGTCCACCGGTGGTATAAGGGATTTAACCCATGGAAGGCGACTGTGAAATCTACAATTGTGTGGGTTCAACTATCTGATTTGCCCATTGAATTTTTCAATGCTGAAGCCGTTACGATGATTGCGGAACTTATTGGAACCCCAATAAGAGTTGATCGAGCAACAGAGATGGGGGCGAGAGGTAACTATGCCCGTGTGAGCGTTGAAGTAGACCTGACAAAACCATTGCTAGGGAAATACAAGGTAGAAGGGATCACCTATCTTATCCAATATGAAGGATTGGATGAAATATGTGGTGAGTGTGGACTATATGGAAATCGAACAGAGAAATGCCATTGCCGCATAATGGAGGAGCAACCACCAAGCTCCACCGCGGAATGCGTTCCGGAAACTCCAGTGGACTAGAAAGCGGAGGAGCGTGTCTATGGCGATTGGATGACTGTCAAAAGAAAACCGAGAAGATACGAGTAAATGGCGATACCAACAAATAAGTGAGTGGATGGAAACACTATGGGGAGACAGGGGAATCGCTTTCATGCCTTTCAAGAGGAAGAGGTTAGGAAGACGAGCGCGAAGGTTACTGAGAAAAAGAATAGTGAGACCCATGCAAGGAAGAATCAGCAGGAGGGAGTGAAGCAAGACTCACCGCCCTTGGCAGGCAACAACCTGAATGCTACAGTTCGAAAAAATGTGCCTAATAATGCCGCTACAAAAAAGGATCCAAAAATCAATGCGGAACGCAGTAGCAAAGTGGGTGGGAAAGGAGTCCAAGGTATGCAGGAGAGAGACGCCCATGCAGGCCATGCAGTACACGTACCACCGGGACCGAAACAAACCAATGGCAAAAGCTCCACCGTGAACAAATTAACTACGCCGAATGGTGTGGGGAACCTATCCCCTTCGAGGAATAAATGAGGATTCTAAGCTATAACTGCCGCGGGTTGGGGAGCAAGCGTGCAGTTAAAGCCCTGAAGTCGCTTTTGCGACTCTACTCTCCACAGCTTGTGTTTCTAATGGAGACGAAGCAAACCGACGAGGAAAATAAGGTTACAAGAATGGAAATGGGGTTCGAGGAAGGAGAAGGTGTTTCGGCTGACCTCTCACGCGGAGGCAGGGCCGGAGGGGTGGGACTGTGGTGGCGGGAAGGGATAAACATTGAGGTTATGTCTCTATCCAGGAACCATGTTGATGCAAAGGTGTGCGAGGATGAAAGCGGAGTATGGAGGTTTACGGGTGTGTATGGTTGGTCGGTGGATGAAGAAAAATGGAGGACGTGGGACATGATTGAACGACTAGCAGCACAATGGGATGGCCCATGGCTGTGTGGGGGGGATTTCAATCAAATATTGATAGACCGTCATTTACACATGTTTTTACCCTCATACTTACACCGTTTGAGGTGTTGATTCTCGTGTTTTAGGCCGATTTCATGCTAGGTTGTGCTTGTTTGTGTTATTTCAGGTCCTAGTACGTGAATGAAGGCTTAGGAGCGAGTCTGGGGTCGATTGGACGAAGAACGGACGAAGGGCGAGCTTTTTGGGGAGTGCACGGGCAGACCAGGAGGCTGCACGGCCGTGCACTTGAGCCATTTGGCCGTGCACCTCATGTCGAGGCCATGCACGGCCAGACCCTGAAGATTGCACGGCCGTGCGCCTGGCCGTGCAAGGTGGATGAAGGCCGAATAATTGATACGGTGCGTTTTGAGGGTGCACGGCCAGAATGGTGTTGTGCACGGCCGTGCACCTGGCCGTGCAACTCGGGAAAGTCGGTTTTAAAGCCTAATTCGAGCCAAAAGTGGGAGAATCGCGTTTTGAGAGCAAAAACAGAGCCCTAGAGAGAGAAAGTGCGAAGAACACACCCTAGAAGCTGTCTTGGAGCTGGATTTCATCGAATCGAGCTTGGAGGTCGTCATAGGAGTGGAAATCATCGTCCCGGAGCAGATTATCCTCATCGTTATGAGTATGACTAATCCGATTCTTGTTTTCTCTTCTCTCTCTATGGAGTAGAACCCTTCTCTCACTTGGGTATGAAGAACCCTAGTTCCTTGTGTTAGGGATTTGATTGTAATGACTTGGGATGATATTACTGTTTGATTTTAATCGAATGACGCATGTTTATTGAATTGATTTGAGTCTGATCAGCTTTTCTCAATTTCTGCTTCAACCTGAGATAGATAGAATCTGATTAGGTTGTTAGAGCCTCTTCATTCGATAGTAGGAGATTGGTTATACGAGAGTTAGCCAGTTTACTGCTTTGTACTGGTGTTCTTGACGCCAGTAGAGGAGTTCTGTGTTCATAGCCTCAGCTTTCTATCCCGGTGAAGACTAGCCGTCTGCCGGGTAGTTAGACTGAGAGGGCTTGGTCAGCTTAAGAGATTCCAAGCTACTGTCGGATCTTCCGCAGTCTAATCAACAGTAAATCAACCCAGGGAATTGCAATTGAACCTAACTAAGGGGCTAGGGGGACTCAATCCCGAGTGACTCTTACCTGCTTTAGAAACCCGAACAATTTACTGCTTTCTTGTTGCTTTTACTTTTCACAACAATCACTCGACTTAGTTTGCTAGATAATAGAGAATCACGGAGTAAGCAGTAGATCTAGACCCCGGGTTGATAATTAAACTTGCCTATACTGCAGTCCCTTTCATTGGTTACACTTGGCCATTGTTAGGTGTTGTGTTTTAGCGTGTCAAGTTTTTGGCGCCGTTGCCGGGGACCCCTCTAGATTATTGGGGAAACGTGAGAATTTGTTACTCTAGCTTTTATTTACTGCATTTTTATCTCTTCCACCTGTGTGCCTTTACGGGTTGCTTCTGCTGATTGTGTGCAGGTAGTGCATGACCCGTAGCCAGTCGGGAGATCTACTACCACTTGACCAGGAGCTTGAACGAACCTGCAGGAACTCCAAGCGGGTTCTAAAGGCGCGACTGGCTGCGGAGAAGGCGCTGTCACAGCTACAGATCGGAGAAGAAGAAGGAGAGATGGGTGATCCGCAGAACAACAATGTGATCCCCGGGGAGCAGACCATGGGATCCTACTGGACCGCTAGGGCTGCGGACATGAGGTCCCCCATTCAACACCCTCAGGTACCAGCCAACAACTTTGAGGTGAGCACCTCCGTGATCACCATGCTGCGCGCTTCAGTAGTGTTCCGTGGTAAGGAGGGAGAGTGCCCTCGATCACATCTCAGGCGATTCCACGAGCTCATCGATGGGATCAAGATCAATGGGGTACCAGCAGATGCCATCCAGCTGAGGTACTTCCCATTCACTCTGGAGGGGCAGGCCAAGGAGTGGCTAGACACTCGACCTCCGGGCTCCATCACCACGTTCGCCAACCTGGCGGACAAGTTCCTCACCCGCTACCATCCTCCATCCAAGACAGCTGATCTCCAGAAGCAGATTACACACTTTTCTCAGGATGAGGATGAGACCATTCGGGATGCTTGGGAGAGGTACACCAGCCTCTTTCTCAGGTGTCCCAACCATGGTTTCAACGATGCGTTCAAGGTGGGCACCTTCTATCACGCCCTCTTCCCGGAGGACAAGCAGCTGATCGATTCGGTTTGTGGCGGGAACATGCTGACCAAAACCCCGCCACAGCTGAATCAACTCTTTGAGGAGATGGCGGAGAATGGTTATGACTGGGGCACTGCCAGGAGATCGAGACGAGCACCTGGAAGGGGTGTGCATGATGTGGGCACCCAGTCATCTGATCTGGTGCAGGTGGTATCGAAGCTGGTTTCAGCTATCGATCGTTCTGGTTTGATTGCAGGTTCCGGGCAGCAGCAGGCGATGCTCTGCCAATGGTGCGAAAGCACCCATCATACGGTGGAGGACTGCCAGGCGATGAAGGAATCAACCACACCCCAGGAGCAGGTGAACTTCATCAACAATGCTAGGCGCAATGACCCCTACAGCAACACGTACAATGAGGGGTGGCGCCAGCATCCTAACTTCTCCTGGGCTGGGCCAAATCCCAAACCACCAGTTCCCCAGGGACCACCAGGCTTCCAGCGGCCACCATATCAGCCCAGATAGGGGCAATTCCAGCAGCAACAACAGTCTCTCTATCAGCCCATGCAGGGGCATGCTGCACAATCACAGCCGCGACCTTTCCAGCAGCCAGGCGCAGCCCCAGCTGCTCCAGTGCAGAATGATCAGATGGCTGACCTGCGGGACTTGGTGGGTTCTCTCGCCAGTACCAGTGCTCAGAAGTTCAACACCTTTGAGCAGTTCATGGAGAAGGCCTCGGGGAAACTCCTGGCTCTTGAAGCTGGCCAGAGGAACACACAGGCTGTTTTGCAGGATATCCAGACCCAGCTGGGGAGCGTGGCCCAGGCAGTGGCTCAAAGGGCTCCTGGTACTCTACCAGCGCAGACCATCCCTCACCCGCAGACCCCGGATGAGCAGTGTAATGCCATCATGACCAGGAGTGGCAAGCTGACTGTCGATCCCCCCGCTCGGGAACCGGAGAGAGAAAGCCCTGTTGCAGCATCTCCAGCGGTTGAACAAGAAGTTGAGAAGGAGGTTGAGGTGCCTGCACCTAAACCGCAACCAGTAGTGAAGGAGTATGTCCCTAAACTCCCTTTCCCTACTCGGTTGCACAAAGACAGGCTGGAGACAGAGTTCGAGAACTTCATGGCCATGCTCAAGAAGCTGAATGTCCAAGTGCCCTTCCTGGAGGCACTATCGCAAATGCCGAAGTATGCGAAGTTTCTGAAAGAGCTTCTCTCAAAGAAGCAGAAGCTGAGTGAGCTGGCCACTGTGGAGCTCAGCGAGGAGTGATCGGCTATTCTGCAGAACAAGCTTCCGCAGAAGAAAAAGGACCCAGGTAGTTTCACTATCCCGTGCTCTATTGGTAAATTGCATGTAGAGAAGTCCTTGGCGGATTTAGGTGCTAGTATCAATGTTATTCCATACAAATTGTTCATGAAACTAGGCCTAGGTGAACCCCGTGCTACTAGGATGACCCTTCAATTAGCTGACAGATCGGTAGTGCATCCTAGGGGTATAGTGGAAGACCTTCTGGTCAAGGTTGGCAAATTCACATATCCTGTGGATTTTGTTATCCTGGACATCAGTGAGGACACAGAGGTGCCTCTTATACTGGGAAGGCCTTTCCTGGCCACCGCCAAGGCTCTCATAGATGTGCATGATGGGACCTTAGTTTTGAGAGATGGCGAGGAGCGAATAACGTTTTCTGTTGCTGATACTATACCTGCTTCGCTACCTCTGCATGCTGTATCTCACCAGGAGCACGAGTCTGTCGTGTATCCTTCTGTGCTGCCTATTTTGCAGGACCCGCCTCCCGCACCTTCGCCGCCACTCCAGACCACTCCGTCATCCAAAGAACAGATCGAGGAGGAGTGGCGGCCGAAACTGCAGGCAGCTAAGCCTGCTCGCA